CAACTGGTATGCCTGTCAAATTGAAGTATTTCCGACACGACTTGTTCAGATGAAAGACTGACAAAAAACATACGATAAGTTCAAACTAAACGTGTCAAGACTGTTAAGGTCAAGACCTTGGAATACATCAGCAAAACAATATGATCCGAACGATAAGTGTGGTTTCACCGCCTAAGAACTACAAACATAAATTCCCAAAACCGTTTCAACACATCGTGAAGGAGAACAAGGACACACACGCCGATGGTTCCTGTTTGAGAATCGGCGATATAATGAAAAACTATCAGTTGACCTACTGTTACAGAGATGCAATCAAGAAACATGCTGAACAAACGCACGCATTAGAAGCATCGCAGCATCAGTGTATGAGCTCCAAGAGGTGATAAAGGAAATGACCTTAAAGGCAATGGCAAAGCCATCCCAACTTTTTAGACAAGTGAACACCTTAAAACATTACCCGTGTGAAGGGTACTCCGGTACTCGTTTTGAGGCTGTTTTTTTTTTTTTTTTTCTGATCATCCTGTGATGCTCTAGTGCCCATATGCGACACTTTCGGTATTGAACAAGTATCGCTTGTTTTCATACCTAGTCACTAGTCAGTCCCACCATTCTAGATTGATGGTTCTCCTGTATAATCGCACTGAAATTCACATTCTTTCACTTTCTATCATGTAGTGCGTCGTTGCAGTCTTTCATCTCTAAATCCTCTTTGACCTTCAACTTTGGAACAGATTTGGCTTTCTTGCAAAAGCTACCACAAAAAATGTTCCAGAAAACATTCCCCCTTTATCCTGTTTTTCCATCCACGGACCAGGTGGTGCCACCTGCACGCCACAATCGCGATGCTCGAGATGGGACTGCGGTGGGCACCGTTCAGCACACCACCTGGGGGATGGAACCCAGCTGGGTTTGCGTGTTTAAGTTCGATACATACAGAGGATGGGACTGCAGCGGCAAAGGTGGGTTGTATGGAGGGACCGGATTTGGCATTAAGTTTATTAAGGGTTTATATAAATCCGGGTTGCCAAATAAACCCAGAGAAACAAACCAAGCTAGTTTCAGAGTAGATGGCACAAAGCCCAACACCTATTCTCATATGGGGGTCCGGTGCCAAATCACCTTTTGGGGATTGTGCCATCTGCTCTAAAACCCCTGTTATTGTTGCTATAGTTGTTAGCGCATCTTGGGCAATCCGTTCCTGGTATCCAACTTCAAAGTCTAGTACAACGCCCTAAAATGAATACTGTAAACCCAGAGTTGCCTAAGTGGGGGACAACATGTTCCCGCCACACACCAGCCAATTCCATCCCAACATTGTCAGCTGAACATGTGCTTCCAAACTAGATCGAAACGACATCCATCTCTTATCAAAGAGCCTTGATTCACCCTTTATATCGAGAAAGCATCGCATGGAACACCTCAGGCTGGCAAGGAGAACACCGTGGCTGACCGGCTGACCGGCTGTGGAGTCCGTGGACCCGGACCCCGCGAGCTGCGGAATGCGCACGCTTGAGGAGGTGACTACAGTGCGTTCAAGCCCACGTGGTTCGCAAACACCCTGTGGTAACATCTTTTTATGGGGGGGAGTGTCACCGCAGGTTCTGCCTCTTGTTTGCCAAGCTTCAAAGAAAAGATGAACAATCCGAGCACCAAACCCAGTCTGAGGGGCCGGCAGTGTCTGCTCAGGCCCTGTACAATCTTGCCAGCTTGCATCGCCTAGGCTTAAGTTGTGCTTTCTGGGCTTAGCCATGTACAAGATCTGACTGGTCTATGCCACCATTGAAGCAGAAGCTGTTTCTTTTGAGATGTGTGTGGTGTTCCGTTGCAGGAGAGCCCTCTCAGAGTCCCAAAGTACACTAGATGACCACAACAGAAACAATAAAGGGCCAAGGGCATAAACGAGGAATCAATGTCTAACTCTGAAGTAACTAAGCAGAGAATCGTATATGTATATAATGGTAAAACGAATTGAAATCCAAATAAATAAGCAATGATTTCATTGTCTCTTTTGATTACCGCGTCTAATCTAAATTGGATTAAACATGTTCAGCCAAAAGAGGATCTCACCCACCAAGGGCGTCTGTGGAAACTCCAATCAATGTCCTCACAACAAACAACATGCTCAGCTTTAACATAGGTGGACAAGATTTTAACAATCATATGCACCCTCCCCTCCCCCGCACTTTCAGTATCGGGGATCCCTGGTTTTGTCATCTTTCCAGCATACAAATAATTGTGTGGTGGCTTCACGGCAACAATGTTGCATGCAGTCTAAGAGAAACCTGATGCCAAGTGCACTAGAAATTTTAAAGATTTCAACATGACAAAGATATAGCACACAAACATGGATATGCAATTGCCAAGAGTAGCCTGCCTGGCTAGGCTGTTCTGCAACGATTTGTTGAAGAACACTTTCTATCAACAAGCTTCCTCCAAACAAGGTACGACACAACCACACACACCATGTGGGTCGCGGTTATCCTGAAGGAGGGTAGCTGGGTAGCTGCCTTGATTTTCAGTTTGGGGGCACTCTCAGCCCGTGTCTCACTGCTACTGCATGAAGTCCTCATCTTCCAAGCGCAAACAAAGTCGCTGCTGGCTGGGCTGCGTGGCTGTCCAGGTGTGCACTCTGAACAAATGGACTGCAATTGTTAGTCTTGCTTCCAACATGAACTCCACTTTCTGGGCGAGTTCTGATGCCATCGTCTGCAGGTAAGCTTTGTTGGAAGAATTGTAATCTTCCCAAGTTCTCTTGGCATTAAGCGAGGCACTCTGTAAACGGGCTGCAGGTTGTGTCAAAAGTCGCACATACCGGCAAAGCATACGACAAATTACAGCCACCTAGCAAAAACAAATCATTATTATTTAAAAGTTGTGTTTCTAAGTCAGCACACAAACAATATTCGACCAAAACAACTTCTGCAGAACAAAACAACATGATTGACTGCATTGTAGCTAGAACATGCTAAAACCTCCCTTCTTATACAGTAGACTTCCCTTGATCCGACCGGACCAACCAACGAGGTGTCTATTTTTTGAGTGAGTGTGAGTTGGGCAATTAAATTAGCTAATCAGTTAAGGCTCCAATTCGCAGGGAAGAATTGTGGTGGCTTTGGGGACGAGGGTTTCCTGCTGGACCAGTTCATCTGGGCTCCCCATCAAGAGCAAGGTCAAATTTTCCGAGCATCTCCTAGCCCTCACGTGTCAACCGTTGGTAGCTGCTCTGAGGAGGTTTTGTGGCCACTTGCTAGCCAGAATGAGAATGAAGGTCTGTAAAACCTGAACATTGGCAGGGTGGGTGTGGCTGAGCAGCAAGGTTCCTCCAAAGCATTCAACCAATTGGTTTTCCTGGTCATGTTCTCCGCCGAGCCGCTTATTGCTCCCACATGCAGGTTCTGGCGAGTTGAGGGCCGGAAAACATGCTCCCTCAAACCACCAAAGACACGGGACAATGCCCAAGCTTGTTCCCCCACTTCACCTACGACCAGACTAAGATGGCCCCCACATACAAGATCATATGGTCTTCCACTGCCGTTCCAAGGGGCTATGGTTAGTCTGCGGGGGTTCAGTCCACACTCCACCGGCTTCACCAGCTGCACCTTTTCCGTGGACCCCGCCCTCGCCCGGCTTGACCGGGCAGGACAACTCAGGACACCCCGTGGTGGTCAGGTGGAGGACCTCAGCTAGTGACGGTAGTGAGGGCGAGTAGGAGGTCACACTGATGAATGCGAACATCTGGGAATGTCATACCGTTTCAGGAACATCCTCCGCTGAATAATGCTGAATCCTTAAATCCAAAACAATCTTGCTAAGGCGCGCGAATTTCAGCTACAGCCCCAGAACAACAACATCTTGATCACCCAATCTGCGCTCCAGACTGTCCGGTGGAAATAAAATACCGGGCCACCTGCGAGTGGACCGGGCGGTTCGGTGCACCGGCTCTCCAAACGACAGGGAAGTGGACAAAAGAACCTAGATCCACTTAGATATAGGACGATGACTAGGATGGTCAAGGTTTTCTGAAGCACATGGAATGTCCATGTTCCAACTTCCATCTTTGGCTTGCTGTGCAGACAAAATGACCTAGTTCTCCAACAAACTGTGGCCCTCAAAGAGCACATGCTCTCGGAGTACTTCAAAGAGTACTGGTAGTGGTTTATAAATTTATATAATATTGTTCTTCAATGTTGAAAATGGAATGGTTCTGCGAAGAGCCTGTTATGAACAACAAAGTGGTGGTTTCAAACCAAACCATGATCGATCGTTCGAACCGGGTCTTTTCCTCAGTGGCCAAAACCAATTCGGAATCCACGTCGTTCACGTTGCCTAATTCGGAGTGGGTCGTTCGTTGATAAACTCTTGTGCGGTGTCATGGTGCCATTTGGAATCCACCTTGAAAGGTTCGGATTTGCATCCGGCGGAATCCACCGGTTTTTGGCGTCATTCAGAATCCCTCCCGTCTTGTCCTGGGTGTGGATATGTGTGAATACCAGGAAGCAAACACCTTCATGTTTTACCCCACTTTTGGTGTGGGAAATGTTTCGAGTCCTTGCGTAAGAACGGTGTCAAACTGCAAGCATCTAAGAATATCTAAGATGTTGTTGATCAAATCATTTACCTCATTTGCCATATCCATAAAACTCAAGTTGCTGTTCCATGTCTGACTACCTAGTAAGGCAATACTCGTTTCAAACCTCACATGTGCGGCCGGACTTGTTTGCCGTGCGCAAACAGAGATACCCACGTCCCCAATGGATTGCAAGAATGACAATGCAGCAGGAGCTTGCAATGCTCGTTCACACGCATTGAAGGCAGCATCACAGCTCACGTCATCAGGCAACTGCATTGTTCCAATCATCTCGTCCTTGGGCAGAAGGACCCAAGTAAGGACAGGTATATAGAGGGCTCACTCTGTTCCATGTGGTTCACCTACGCCTACGGTTGACAAAAGAAACACTCCACCACTGTCATATATATATATATATCTCAATTGCAAAACTCATCCACACCTGACAAACCAGCAGCCCCATTACCGTACCTCTATTCGATGGTGGTGTCATGCAAACAGGTGGTGCCAAATTGTTCGCCAATGGGACCTTTGCGGGTTTGGATGCCCGATGCAACAATCTTAAAGAGCGAGCGCGAAGGTTGCAGGTATCATCCTCACAAAAGTGCAGGATGTCTCTCCGTCGGCGGCCCCAAGTGGGCATTGAGCACACCAAAATTGTTCATATTTGCTGTTGATTTCGCCTGTCTTCCTCACCCTGTAGATAAACAAATGATTAAACAACAAAAACACTTGTATTTACTCTTCCAAGTCCTGTGGTCCGAATTATCCGTTTTGTTTTTCCATTTTTTTTTGGGGGGGGATGGGCTCAGAGTCTACAGCTGGGCGTCCACCAGAGCAGCTGCACGTGCCCAGGACCGGCTCCAGGAGCTCGAGGAGCGACTCAAAGAGGTGAGAACAGCATTGAACGTGCTTCGGTCCGGCAAGAACTCCTCTTCTTTCCTGGTTGAACGCGGTTGACTCATGCAGCGGTGGGCTGCAAGCAGCTGGCTGCTATTCTGAAGTGGAGGGTTTACGTATGAACATTACTACAAGGGGGCTGAAGAACAATCCTAATAGGTCCCTAATAGATCCTAATAGTAGTTATATGAGAGACATCCGCAAGACACGGATCCTGCATGATCCTGCTCTCTCCAACTCTCTGTCATGGATTCATCTGTATGGCAGTCTTATGAGTCTTATAGATGCCAAACCCATGGCTTGCCCCGCTTTCCCAACAAACCGGCCGGGCGGCTTTGCACATCTGCGGCCCAAGCATGAGTCAATGAGTCAAACATTCTTCTTGATCAAGAGAGGCAAACAACTACTGAATCTTGCCACCAGTATCTTGCTGAAAGCCGCCTCCCAATACCGGGTAATTACTTTATCCACCTGATCATCAATACGCCACCCTTTCCATGCTGCGCACCAAAAATGCTTTACACAACAGAACAGCCCAGGGGTCCATCCATCAGTCTTTTTCCGCTTTCCGAGAACTGACGTCGTTCGCAGCAACGCAGGCCGTATCTGGCTGTAGTCACTCAGGGCCGGCAATTGATAGCTCACCAACGTTGGTCTCAAATACCATTAGTCGGACAAGGGGACATGAATCTTTTTTTTAACACAAATGACTACAACCTAATGAACATTGTAGTCCCAAACCGGCCCAACACTGAAAAACATCTCAGTATGATCGGTGTCATTCATCATGAGAGCATAGAGCTTGTAGAACTCTCTCCCCACCGTTCACCTGCGAACAAAGCAACAACAAACCGTGACGTTCACCAGTCCACCAAGTCTCAAGCAGTTCCTCATCTCCAATGCCCTCCGCCACACCGCGACCCGTGCAAGGGCCAAGACTGCTGAGTTCAAGGTGATGACTGTGGGCCGAAGCTTCATCGCCAGGAGGTGTCTCAGCACCTCCTTGGAAATTCGGATCCCGAATCCGGGAAGCACCAGGACACCCATTGGAGGATTCTTACCCAAAGGTCTTCATATGGGGCGTGGGTATGCGTGGGTCATGTTGGTCATCATCGACAGCGTAATTTGTCACATGCCGGGGAAGCTGCCACGGCTGCCACGAAGGCCGTGGGCTTGGACCCACGACCAATTACATGCTATGTCCTGTAGGGCTTATAGCATCGGCTGCTTGTCACTCAGGCGGAAGGTGGGAAGGAACTTGGTGGCAAACAAACATTTTTCCACTACCCATCGCACAAACAAACCCGTCCAAGGGCGACTGATTGGCCTTCCTTCTGCTTCGAGGCGCCGTGCTGTGCTCCCAGGCCGTCCGTGAAGGCTGTGCTCCAATCACCGCACTGCAAAAGCTGTTGTCGGCCGCCAGGCCCCTCTGCGAAAGCTTCCAGAAGGCAACCAAGGCCAAGCGCCAGCCTTGGAGCGACACCAAGAACTGACCCAGCCGGTGGGCGCTTTCCTTGTCCCCGGTCTGGTTTTGGCGTTCCACGTGGTGGGATGTCCATAACCATGAACCTGACAACACCCACAGGTTGTGCTTGCGGCTCGCACGTTCAGCTTCCCAAGCCACACACCGAAACAATAGGGTCCACCACCCATGTATGGTATTTGCAATGTATTGTCTGTATATAGATGTATATAGTCAGTACTGCTGTGCACAACAGCTACTTTCAGGACTCAAGCCTCCCGTCAGCATGACAGCTTGCCGAGCAACGTGTTGAATTCTCCAAAGCACTGCAAGAAGCGCTGTGGCAAACTAAGTCCCGCTCCAAACCCGTGGGCGAAGAAAGCAAAGACATGGCACGTCGCCAGGCAGTTCCTTTCTCACCTGGCAGCTCCCACATCCGTGTGAGAAAGGAAGGACCGTGATGGTCAGGACCACGTCTGGTTGGCCCTGGTGGATCCTCTCACCCGATGCAATGTTTAAATCCTTGTGATGCACCACCGTTCAACATTTTAGGGGGGCGGTCAATTTGGGGGTCAATTTCATGTGTGGTGTTCATGTGGTATTCCCAACCATCTGGGCATGCTGATCCACATGTTGGTGCCGTTGAGGGGTACACATGGTTTGATCGCGGCAAGAGTCTTGAGATATATACTTTGGATTCTTTGGGGTAGTAGTGGTCCAGAAGCGGAGTCACCTGCCCAAACACACTGCGCCCTACGCCCCACTGAACATCCTCGGGCGGGTTTTCCGAAGGATACACCAGTTTGGACCACCTCTGAGAGTTGCAATCTGTGAGGGTCATGAAACTGACCACATCGCCAAGTCGCAAGAGGAGATGGTCGCGCTGAAGGCTGTCCTGTTTGAATGGAGCGAAGTCACACATCTTACCATCTATTGCTCCATTCATTGAACATGAACACTGAAAAACAAAACCATATTACACTAGATGCACGATCCTTCCATCACCCTTGGGGGTGGCCGTCTAACTCAGGTGCTCCATCACCATCTTTGGAGGACCGCAAGGGACGCAGTGCTCCATGGACCACTTGGGAGGCGACGACCGTCAAGGGTCTACCTGTGGGCAACCCCCAAAGGAGATAGAATGCTGAAATCTGGACCTCGGTAGAAATTGTTAGACTTTTCCAACTGACTGACTCAGTCCACTGCCATTGAATCTCTTCTGAGAGCTCAGCAGCCCAATTACTGTACAAGTATACGAGCAACAATTGTGGAAACAACAAAGGACATCAAACATAAAACTCTCCGATGCTTCTCGACCAGCGGGCAGGCCCAAAATAGCCCAAATTTGAAGCACCCGTTCCATCCTCTGACTGAGCATCAGTACCCAACCCAGCCCCACACACCCTGCTGCTGACCAAGCTGCAAGGAAGTCTCCACACCAACCTGCGCCCAGCGGCCAAGCGCCGCCAGCGCTTCGCACCAGTAGCGGCCAAAAGCGCTGGCATGAGCCGCCACGCCTCAGCGGTTGGCGTCACGACATGCCGCTTGGCGATCCACTGCTGCAAAGGTGTTTGAACTGCAGGAATTACCATCTATATAGTAGCATCCTTGCTAGTAGCGATGCCAGGAGCCCCTAGTAGCTTCTTGTTCCTAGTAAGGCAGGAGCCTAGTAGCGTCCTTGCTCCCAGTCGAATTACCATGCCATCACCTCATGAGATTTGGTCTTTCGAGTGGGTTTGGAGGGCCCAACACTTTTGAGGAATTTGTTGGACGCACATGCTGGATAGCTGAACAGGCCCTTTCGTAGGCGATTTTGTGGTTTATGTAATAGCTGGTGGGGTCCTGTTCTGGCTGTTCCACTTCCATGCTTGTTCCAAAATAACCCCTGCAGGTGCAGAAATGCAGGTTTGGTCCAATAAGACTTGCTTGCTGCTTGTACACCTGTTAATCCTTAGCTATATAGTAATCTATACATTGG